TGTTCATTACATAGTTCTGACCCCTGCTCTATATGCTACGATGTTCATTACATAGTTCTGACCCCTGCAGTCTATATGCTACGATGTTCATTACATAGTCCTGACCCCTGCACTCTATATGCTACGATGTTCATTACATAGTTCTGACCCCTGCAGTCTATATGCTACGATGTTCATTACATAGTCCTGACCCCTGCACTCTATATGCTACGATGTTCATTACATAGTTCTGACCCCTGCACTCTATATGCTATGGTGTTCATTACATAGTTCTGACCCCTGCACTCTATATGCTGTGATGTACATTACATAGTTCTGACCCCTGCACTCTATATGCTACGATGTTCATTACATAGTCCTGACCCCTGCACTCTATATGCTACGATGTTCATTACATAGTTCTGACCCCTGCAGTCTATATGCTACGATGTTCATTACATAGTTCTGACCCCTGCACTCTATATGCTACGGTGTTCATTACATAGTCCTGACCCCTGCACTCTATATGCTACGATGTTCATTACATAGTTCTGACCCCTGCAGTCTATATGCTACGATGTTCATTACATAGTCCTGACCCCTGCAGTCTATATGCTACGATGTTCATTACATAGTCCTGACCCCTGCACTCTATATGCTACGATGTTCATTACATAGTTCTGACCCCTGCACTCTATATGCTATGGTGTTCATTACATAGTTCTGACCCCTGCACTCTATATGCTGTGATGTACATTACATAGTTCTGACCCCTGCACTCTATATGCTACAATGTTCATTACATAGCTCTGACCCTGCAGTCTATATGCTGTGATGTACATTCTGTATGCCAGGACCTCTACACTCTGTCCTACATTGTAAGTTACTTGGACCTGACTGCAAAGCTTTATATATTATGTTGTGCCTTACATAGTCCTGAGTGCTGCACTCTATACACTTTGGTGTACATTATATACTCCTTACCAAGGTGTTTATTGTTCCTCACAGTTGCTGGTTGCTAAGTAACCCTCCATTTTATAAATGAAATACTTCTGTAAGGCGAGATCAGACAAAGGACTCGATTCACTAACTGATATCACATGCGATATATGTATTTTTTTTGTTGTTTATTTGTTTGAAATATCGCATGAGATAAGAAGAGTCAGTTCATGAAAGTAAAATATCAAATGTGAGATAAATACCGCAAAAAAAAAAAAAAGGAGAGCAATCAATAAAGTCAATTCACTAAAACAAACACAACAACGTATTTGTTATGTCTCTCCTGAATGCCTCGGTTAACGTAATTTTTGGTTTACGAATGAAAATCCATTGAAAATAATGCCTCGGTTTACGATTTTTTTTCGTAATACGAACAGATTAATTGGTTTTCAATACATTTACGATTTTTTTTTTAACCACTTGGCTATCGGGCACCGATACCCCCTTCCTGTCCAGGCCAATTTTCAGCTTTCAGTGCTGTCACACTTTGAATGACAATTGCGCAGTCATGCAACATAGTACCCATATGAAATTTTTATCATTTTTTTCATACAAATAGAGCTTTCTTTTGGTGGTATGTACTTGCCACTGGGTGTTTTTATTTTTGCGCTAGAAACAAAAAAATGCAAAAAATTTGAAAAAAAAAGGTTTTCTTTGTTTCTATTATAAAATTTTGAAAACAGGTCATTTTTCTCCCCCCTGTCCTTGCCGCCCTCCTTCTCCTCCGAATAGTGGGGGCGGGGCAAGCAACTGATTGGTTGTTAGGACCACAGATGTCCTAGCAACCAATCACGTGCTTTCCCCGCCCCCACTAGAGCTGACAGTGACAACACAGGGCAGTGGCGTGGCAAACCACCCCCCCCCCGCCCGAAACACAGCCGAGCCACGCCCCGTCCGAGCACACATGAGAATGCCGCCTTGTCTGAGCACAAACGAGTCCACCCCCCCTTCCCGAACACAGCCATGCCCGCCCGAGCACACACGAGCCTGCCCCCCCTCCCGACCACAGCTGAGCCTCCCCCCCTCCCGACCACAGCCGAGCCCCCCCCCCCCCCCCCCTGCCAGATCACATACAAGACAGCACTGGTCCTTTCTGCCTGGGGGCGGTGCCGCCCCCCTGAAAAATGCCGCCCAAGACAGGTGCCTTGCTTGCCTCGTGGCAGATAAGCCCCTTTCTCTAACTCCTGGGATAGAGGAAAAAAAAAATGTTTGTAAAAATAAAGAAAAAATTCCTAGATCAAGGTTTGATCTAGTTCAGTGCCAGGGTAAGTGTTTGGGTCAAGGTCAAGGTCAAAGGTTAGGATTTAAAAACAAATTGGTGTCAGTGTGTTTAGGTAAAAAAAAACAAAAAAAAAAAACAAAATGCGCACTATTGTTTCTGGGCTGTACTCTGGGTACAAACAACAAATAACATACACATATAGAATATTGCTGTGATCGTCAAGAGCTGGAGAATTTATTTTGGGTTGTTCTTTGGTGGTAGGTTATGGTAGGATCAAGAAACACACAGCTAAATAAAAAAAGATTTTTTTTTTTTTTACTATTTTGGGTCAGTTTTCCATTGATGATAAAAAATAAATCAGGAAGTATCCATTACCATTTACCACCAAATGAAAGCCCAATTTGTCCTGAAAAAAACGCAGTATAATCCACCCGGATGTACAAAGTAGTTGTGATGATATGTACGGTATTACTAACACATGTCAACGTTGCAAAATTGTGCTTAGGGATTTACAGTGATGGAAATGTGTATTTGCTCCCCGGCTGATTTTGAATGTTTGCCCACTCGCAAAGAAATGATCGGTCTAAAAATCGAATGTTCGGTGTATTGTAACACTGAGAGACAGGATAGCAACAAAAAATTCAGCAGAAATGCATGTCTACCAAATGATGACTGATTTGCATGTTCATGAGGGAAATAAGTATCTGATTCCCTATCATTCAGCAGGATTTCTGGCTACCAGGTGACTTTCATACAGGTAAAAAGCTGAGATTAGAAGCCGTCTGTTAACCCCTCGCCTACAGGGCACTTCTACCCCCTTCCTGTCCAGACCAATTTCTAGCTTTCAGTGCTGTTGCACTTTGAATGACAATTGTGCGGTCTTGCAACACTGTACCCATATGAAATTTTTATCATTTTTTTGTGACAGGGCTTTATTTTGGTGGTATTTAATCACCTCAGGGTTTTTTATTTTTTCTTAAACAAACCAAAAACCACAGAAAATTTTGAAACAAAAATGTTTTTTCTTAGTTTCTGTTATAAAATTTTTTAAATACCGTAAGTGATTTTTCTCCTTCACTGATGTGCACTAATGAGGCTGCACTGATGGACACTGATAGGTGGCACTGATGAGGAGACACTGATAGGTGGCACTGATGAGGAGGCACTGGTAGGTGGCACTGATGGGCATTGACAGGCATCACTGATGGGCACACAAAGGCAGCACTGATACATGGCACTGATAGGCGGCACTGATAGGCGGCACTGACTGGCACTAATAGGCGGCACTGACTGGCACTGATATGTGGCACTGATTGGCAGCACTGATAGGTGGCACTGATTGGCATTGATAGGTGGCACTGAAGGGAAGCTCAGATGGGCACTGATATGTGGCATTGATGTGCACTGGTAGGCACTGATATGTGGCATTGATGTGGCACTGATGGGCACTGGCACGAGGCACTGATGAGCACTGACATAAGGCACTGATGAGCACTGACAGGCAGGGGCGGACTGACAACTCATGGGTCCCCTGGGCAATAGGGGATCATGGGGCCCCTGTGTCCTTGCCCAAACTCAAAAAAGCCTATGAAAAAGGTACCAGGGGCATCTGATGGGGCCCCCTACTGACCCCGGGCCCTCGGGCAGTGCCCGAGTTTCCAAATGGTCAGTCCGCCCCTGCTGACAGGTGGCACTGCTGGGGCTACACTGATCATCAGTGCCCTGATGATCAGTGTACATGTCCCCTCCAAGGAATGCCGATTACCGGCTCTCCTCTCCTCTGTCAGTGTGACAGCTCGTGAGGAGAGAAATGCCGATAACTGGCATTTCCCTGTTTACATGTGATCAGCTGTGATTGGACACAGCTGATCACATGACCGAGCCGACATCTTCGGCTCTTTCCATGATCGGTGATCCGCTGTGTTCGCTGCGCACTCCCCTGAGCCACACACGCGCAGTTAGAATGGGAGGGTGTCATATGACGTCCTCCCAGAACGAGAGAGCCACCTTGCGCCCATCATCATATTACTATATGGCGGGCGGGAGGTGGTTAAAGGGAGTGCTGCTAATCTCATTTTGTTACCTGTATAACAGACACCTGTCCACAGGAGCAATCAAACCATCAGATTCCAAACTCTCCACCATGGCAAAGACCAAAGAGGTGTCCAAGGATGTCAGGGACAAGGCTTTGTTTTACCCTTAGGCGTGAACAGATTAATAGCAAAAAGTAAAAAAAAAAATTTTGTCTCAAAATTGTCTTTTTTTTATAGCACAAAAAATAAAAACCGCACAGGCAACCAAATACCACCAAAGAAAGCTCAATTTGTGGGGAAAAAGGAAGGTCAATTTAATTTGGGTGCAGCGTTGCATGACTGTGCAATTGTCAGTTAAAAAAACGCAGTGCTGTAATGCAAAAAGTGGCCTGGTCAGGAAGGGGGGGGGAATCCTCTGGAGGGCAAGGGGTTAATTCTATTTTAATATTGACAGGAAAGCAACAGATTCCTATGAACTGTCAGCTACGTTAGCCCCACTCTTCCTTGGAGTGACACAAAGCAAAATGGCCGCCGTGCCCTACTTCCCACCCTCAACTAAGATGGACTTCCCGGCTTCTCCAGCCCTTTTGAAAGATGGCGGAAACGGCACCCTCCACACCTTTCTTTCTCCCCGCCTCCCGGAGGCGGTGTTTGGGCTGCGGTGACGTCATGTCATATATAAGCCCAGGGCGGCAGGGCGGAGCGCTCAGAAGGTTCCTGACTCGGCGTTGAAAGCTCATAATTTGGGAACCAGGCACAGCGGCATCATGAGGGAGATCGTGCACCTGCAGGCAGGCCAGTGCGGCAACCAGATCGGGGCCAAGGTGAGCGGAGGAGGGGGATGGGCTGTCCTGTACTTCCTAATGGGGGGAATCCTGGATACATTGTATCGCTTCATTGCCGATATAGGTTACAGCTGTCACTGGCTGCGCCCCCTACGGCTGGGCACAAGTACTGCAGCTCTGTAAAGAATTCTATATGATCACCAATAGATCGATTCTGATAGAGGGATCTTCTGATGCAATGTATTGATTATTCTATAGATCCCAGTGGATGTAATATGGGGATGATCAGAATAAAATATGGTGACCATACATGGTGTAATAAAAGTGAGCAATCGATGGGGCGAGACAAATTGACAAGTAATGGTTTCAATCAACCCAAATCGATCGACAGCGGTAGGAAGGAAAATGATCGTCTAGGGAGGATCTGGTTTTATTCACTACCTTGTATGTAGATCAGTCATAAATGATTCACAAGGGTGGGAATAAAGTGCCACCAATTGACTCTAGATGATTGTTGCGGTTTTTGTTTTTTTTTTTCTGCCGCTGCCAATAGATTTGGGTCGATGGAAACCGTCCCTATCAGTTGTGGTAGAAAAAAAAATAGATTTGGGGCTGCTATTGATTTTTAAGGGGCCGATTGTACGCCATCCACGTATAAGGGTGTGGAAAGATGTCATCGATCAACCGGGTACAACTGGATTTTTTTTTTTTCTTCTCGCAACAGCCAATAAACAGGTCAGTAGACACTCCAGTTGTAGTATAAAAAAAAAAATCGATTTGTATAGGACCGATTGACCACTATCTGCATTTAATGGCATGAAAAAACCCCACTGATTAACCATGTACAATTTTTTTTTTTATTTTTTTTTTTTCTGCTACAGTAAATACACAGGTTGATGGAAACCTTCCCTGTCAGTTGTGGCAGAAAAAAAAGATCGTAAAGGGCCAATTTAACACGATATACACGTATGGGTGTGAAAAAATATCGATCGATCTCGTACGATTTTTTTCTTTTTTCCGCTAATGCTGATCGATTGGAACTGTCGCTTTCGGAGGCTCATTGCTCGGCCATGTCGTTTTTGTTTCAGGTGGTTAATATCCACTTGGAGATCGATCGTACAGGTTAAATTGTACCGTGAATGGCCATCATTAGATGGCAGTTTAAAAATATTCGATTCTTATCAAGACATGGTTGTGTTTTATAAGCGGATATTAATATGTACCTGGTTGACTGTAATGGTCACACACGTAACGATCTGATCGATTGATTCTTTACAGAATTGGACGATATGATCAGACCTTTAAATTATCCAACAGGCATACTGTTCCATCAAATTGATTTCAACGGGAATTATTGTGATCTTTCTGGATGGAAAATTCAGTCTATGATTGAATGATATGATCATGAAGTGTATGGTACATTGAGGGATTTTTGATCGTCTTTCAGATCGGGCAGTAAATCGATCAATCGTATAACATCTACCACCTTTATATAGATAGTCGTGTTTAATGACGGCTTTCTATTGTGTACATGGTTGTCTTTCATATTCTGATGGTGGCCATTCATGGAATGCGTTTGTAGATGATTGGAATGCTGAGTGGTTCAAAACGTTCGCTGTGCCATACATTTTCCAATCATGTCTATTTTTCTATGATACAATAGTGAACTTGGTGCGTTTTGGTCTAAATTGATCAATGAAACACGGATTCTTCGAGAATTCACTCATTTGATCAAATTGTCTGATGCTGTCAAGAATCCTTCGATCAGATCATTGGGTTTATGGCCACCCTTAGATTTCTGTAATGTACATTCCTGTGGTGGCCATACAAGTAGCAATCCCATCAAATTTTCTATACGGAATGTGATCGAATCTTTTTAATATCAAAAAGACAAATACTGCGTCGTCAATGAATTTTTGAGCAAAGCCAATCGATTTAATTGAAAAGGATTCCTATCGGCCTGGATGGACAATCCAATGATAGGAAAGTTGATGGATGTATATAGTGCATCAAAGTATCTTCCGGTTGAATTTTTCTCCCCACGCAGTAGATCGATCGATGTGTTCATCAATATCAGTGGTCTCCAAACTGTGGCCCGAGGGCCGGATGCGGCCCTTTGCTAGCCTAAATCCAGCCCTTGGGGCACTGTTCCTGACACCAAAAGTGGGGCATAACTCACCGACACCAGCAGTGAGACACTTCCCACGAATATCAATGATGGGGGCCCTATTCCACCCTCTAACCTCAATGGTGGGCCAATATTCCTTCCAGGGATGGCAATGATGGGGCCCTATTCCATCCACTAGCATCAATGGTGGGCCAATATTCCATCCTCTAACCTCAATGGTGGGCCAGTATTCCTTCCAGTGATAGCAATGAAGGGGCCCTATTCCATCCACTAACATCAATGGTGGGCCAATATGATTCCTTCCAGTGATAGCAATGATGGGGCCCTATTCCATCCACTAATATCAATGGTGGGCCAATATTCCTTCCACTAATATCAATGATGGGGCCCTATTCCATCCACTAACATCAATGGTGGGCCAATATTCCTTCCACTAATATCAATGATGGGGCCCTTATTCCATCCACTAACATCAATGGTGGGCCAATATTCCTTCCACTAATATCAATGATGGGGCCCTATTCCATCCACTAACATCAATGGTGGGCCAATATTCCTTCCACTAATATCAATGATGGGGCCCTATTCCATCCACTAACATCAATGGTGGGCAATGGTGGGGCCAATATTAACATTCAATGGTGGGCCATATTCCTTCCACTAATATCAATGATGGGGCATATTCCATCCTCTAACATCAATGGTGGGCCAATATTCCTTCCAGGGATAGCAGTGATGGGGCACTATTCCATCCACTAACATCAATGGTGGGCCAATATTCCTTCCAGTGAATGGCAATGATGGGGGCCCTATTCCATCCACTGCATCAATGGTGGGCCAATATTCCATCCTCTAACCTCAATGGTGGGCCATGATTCCTTCCAGTGATAGCAATGATGGGGCCCTATTCCATCCACTAACATCAATGGTGGGCCAATATTCCTTCCAGTGATCGCAATGATGGGGCCCTATTCCATCCACTAACATCAATGGTGGGCCAATATTCCTTCCACTAACATCAATGATGGGGCCCTATTCCATCCACTAACATCAATGGTGGGCCAATATTCCTTCCACTAATATCAATGATGGGGCCCTATTCCATCCACTAGCATCAATGGTGGGCCAATATTCCTTCCACTAATATCAATGATGGGCATTATTCCATCCACTAACATCAATGGTGGGCCAATATTCCTTCCAGGGATAGCAGTGATGGGGCACTATTCCATCCTCTAACCTCAATGGTGGGCCAATATTCCTTCCAGTGATGGCAATGATGGGGTCCTATTCCATCCACTAACATCAATGGTGGGCCAATATTCCTTCCAGTGATAGCAATGATGGGGCACTCCTCCTCCTACTGACCGCAGGCACTATGCAACTGAACAGCACACCTGCGACCGTTTACTCTTACTGATGTTGGCCCTGAGACTTTTTCTACCCCCGCTGGCCACAATTCGCCCCCCCTGAAGTCTACAGGACCGTACACTGGCCCTTTGTTTGGAAAGTTTTATACCCCTGGTCTATATAATCATTCCATGTGTGGCCACCATTAGATTTGCATCGTGTACATGGCTGTATGTACATCTTGTGTCGTATACAGTAAGTCTAGCGTGCTGGGGCCATGGCATTTGGTTTGGAAAATTGCGTCCCACATATAAACCAGTAGGAGTGTGGGATAGTGTTCTCTGTACAGCACCATGGAATATGTTGGTGCTATAGGAGTGTAGATTAGTGTGCTTTATAGCACACCAGGGAATATGGTGCTATAGGAGTGTGGTCTAGCGTTCTTTATACAGTGCCATGGAGTATGTTGGTGCTATGGGAGTATAGGTTGGTGTTTCTTTATACTGCGCTATGGAATATGTTGGTGCTATAGGAGCATAGGTTAGTGTTCTTTATACAGCGCCATGGAATATGTTGGTGCTATAGGAGCATAGGTTAGTGTTCTTTATACAGCGCCATGGAATATGTTGGTGCTATAGGAGCATAGGTTAGTGTTCTTTATACACGCCATGGAATATGTTGATGCTATAGGAGTATGGGTTAGTGTTTTTTATACAGCGCCATGGAATATGTTGGTGCTATAGGAGCATAGGTTAGTGTTCTTTATACAGCGCCATGGAATATGTTGGTGCTATAGGAGCATAGGTTAGTGTTCTTTATACAGCGCCATAGAATATGTTGGTGCTATAGGAGTATGGTTTGTGTTCTCTATACACACCAGGGAATATGTTGATGGTATAGGAATATGGGTTAGTTTTTTGTACAGCGCCATGGAATATGTTGGTGCTATAGGAGCATAGGTTAGTGTTCTCTATACACACCAGGGAATATGTTGGTGCTATAGGAGTATGGGTTAGTGTTCTCTATATACTAGGCTGTGATGCAATATAGAGGTGAGGGTTAGTTTTTGTACAGCGCCATGGAATATGTTGGTGCTATAGCAGGGGGGGGGGGGGGGTATGGGTTAGTGTTCCTGTGTATAACACTGGAATATGTTGGGTGTAGCAAGGTGTTAGGGTTTCTGTGTACAACACCACGGAATATGTTGGTGCTGTAGCAAGGTTTGTTAGGATTCTCTGTACAGCACCATGGAATAGGTTGGCGCTATGTAGCCGAGGATGATATTCTCATTTCCCTGCGTGCCTGTAGTGCGGTGTTGCGTGTCTTCCATGATGCTCCCCCTCCCCCCGCAGGGATTTGTAATCCAGCATTCTGCTGCCCATTTATTGTTCATTTATGACTCTAGTAGTCGGCCATTTATCTGTATTAATAGCAGGCTAGGCGTTGGTGTCTCCTTCCCCGTAATGTAGGTTACCCCTCCCCTCTGTAGTGGTTGTTAATATTTGAAGGAATCGATAACTCGTCTCATCGATCTTCTATACCGAGGTCTGGGCGTGTATTG